CCCCGCCTTTACGAACACGAAAGGGCCCCAACACAGTTTTCCCCGTGTTAAAAAGCGGATAAAGGCCCCTCCCTGTGAAACTTAGATGTCAGCCTTTGGGCAGCTAAATGCGTGACCCCTGCCGCTTGCCCCCGGGCCTTTGAGGAGGCCCGCTTTTCCCTTTGAGTCGGAAAGGACTATGGGTAAAACGACGCCCATTCCTCTGTTCATGCCCGGAAAACAAATCCCTGTTAAAAATGGGGGGCCCAGGGGGGCGGTAGAAACGGGGCCGCACAGATCTCAACGCCACATGACCCCTGTGGGGGCAGGACGGGAAGAAGAGGAGGAGGTAGAGGGGACTTTGGGTTGCTCAGGAATTATTGAGTAAAAATTGGGGGGTTTTTTCCACTGGGGGCGGCCCGGGAGGGGAAGGAGCAGGAGCATCTGGAAAGAGGAGGAGGAGGAGGAGACAGGGCCCCAGACGCACCCGGGAAAGAAAGCTGTGGAGATGGAGGCAGGGAGTCCCTCGCTTTCCCCGGCACAAATGGCCCATAGCATCCCTTTTTTGCTTGCGTAGCGACAGCCGAAAAAATAACCTCAGACAGAGGGTTTGGATTTTTTGGCTGCCCACCTTTTTGGACCCTGGGTTTCCGGTCAAAAATGGTGCCTTTTTCACAACCTGCTTGAAGGGAGGCCAAAATTACTTACTATAAAAACAACCACCTATTGTAGTCAGCTGGTTCTCTGCCTTTGTGCGCCAACCCTCCCATCCTCCCCGTCACATGTCCTCCCAGACACCGTGCGCCTGTGCGCTTCGCGTTCCCACTGCCATTGCAGCAGGTGAGGGTCGGTGGTAGGAGCAGTGGCAGCCTCCACCAGCAAGCGCGGCAGCCTCAGTCTGCAGACCGAATGATGAGTAAGCTTTTCTTCACTCAGCGCAGAGGTGAGTAAAGAAACTACTAACCAGCCGCAGCAGCAGCAGCATCAGGTGGACCTGGAGCAGGACCTCAAACAACAGGCTTGGGCCTACTTGGACAGCACCCTGTGCAACCGAGGGTAGACAATCCCCTCCCCTTGACTACTGGGAAACGAAACTTGACCTTTGGCCCCAACCTAGCTGAATTTGCCCTTGAAAGGCTGTCATGCCCGGGCCAGTAAGCGTGGCATCGGAGTCGCGTGTTTAGTGCGGCAGGAGGTATTGTAACTCCGCGGAGGACAACGACTGTCCACCCCAAAGTGTGGAGAGACTCACACCGTTTTTGTGAAATGAATCAGGCGTGTGGATTAGTCTGGAGTTCAAACCACCAGTTTCTGACACAACATGACTAAATCCGCCATGAAATTTTTATTCATGGCCCCAAACATGTGCCCACTTTCAGGTCTCCTCACCACTGCTGGTGGGTTCCATTTTGTCATAGGGTGCTGGCAGATTACGGGCCTCCCATTGCTGCTGCCAGGCCCGTAATCTGCCATGGGCCCCTGTACCGCCAATCCTCATGCTGCTGCCAGGTCCCAGAGTCCCTCATGGGTCCCTGTACGGCCTCCCATTGCTGCTGTCCTCCATCGCCACACTCTGGCCATGTGCCACTTCAGGTCTCCTCACACTGCTGTGTGGTTCCATTTTGTGTCATAGGGTGCTGGCAGATTACGGGCCCGCCCATTGCCTGAGCTGCCAGGCCCGTAATCTGCCATGGGCCCCTGTACCGCCTCCTAATGCTGCTGCCAGGTCCAGAGTGTGTCATGGGTCCCTGTACGCCTCCCATTGCTGTATGGCCTCCCATTGCTGCTGTCTCCACCGCCGCACTGTGGCTCCACACTCTGGTTTTGGCCCCGTGACTGCCCTAATGAGTGAAGTGTGCGGTGATTCTAAGATCGACGGCACTCATCTGCATGTCATACTGAATGACAGTATTATTTCTCTTCCCCAGCAGACTCCAAGGGCATTTAAATTAAAGGTACAGTGTTCTGCACTAATATAAAGGCTCTCTGAAGCCTAGAAACACCCTTTTATAAGTTAAAATCGCAGCGAATATATTCGCATCGAATCGAATTTATTCCTCGAATTCGCCGAATCAGCCGAATCGAATTTTTGAATACTTCGCTCATCTCTAGTTGCCACCATGACAGAACGTGAAGTAAGATTTCCCCTTATGGGGACAAAGCAATAACCGTGGTCAAAACCAACAACATTTGTATGGCGTTAGTCTGTAAACAGATTCTCTTTTTCAATTTCCAGGTTATCATGCATCCATTAAAGCCACGGATATCGACTGTTAGAGGGGTGGCTTACATTGCCATCATCTGGATAATGGCGTCCTGTTTCTCTCTGCCGCACGCAATTTACCAAACTCTCTTCACCTTTGAATATAGGTAAGCCAGGTCAGCCGCGTACTTCGGATTGACCTCTTCTCAATGTTTTCTCTTGCCCAAACTGTACTAGAAGTTTTGACGCTTTTACATTAGCATGACATTGCGAGAGACTAGTAGAATGCACATGACAGAAACATTTGTTTCGGCTTTATTTGTTAAGTAAATAATTTCATTTAGTCTTAATCATTATGTTAGAACGATTTGGTTTCAGAGCGATTCATTATTTTTGGTAGTGTATCCATATACCGTATTTTTTGCCGTATTAAGACGCACTTTTTCTTCCCCAAAACTGGGGGGGAAATGTCAGTGTGTCTTATAAGGCGAATATGGAGCGGCCGGTCCGGTATTTCCACCGCGGCCGTGTCAGAATACCGGGCTGGCCGCTCAGCTCTGCAGCGGGACCTTACCTGTTCCTCTATCCAGCGGCGTGCTATCTTCCCGGCTTCTGTAGTGTGGGCACTGGGCATGACAGCCGGGTGCCAAGTGCACATGCACGAGAAGCGGTGCTTTTTGTGAATGGTAAGGCGGTACCTGGGACACATGACAGATCCCAGAAGCCGCCGGACCAATCACAAAGCGCAAGTGCTTCTCGCTCATGCGCATTGGGAACCCGACTGTCATGCCGAGCGCCATTACAGAAGCCGGGAAGACAGCGCACGGCTGGATCGAGGAACAGGTAAGATCAAAAACTCTGCGGAAGTAAGAGCGGGTACCTGTCAAATTCAGGTACCCGCTCCCCACCTCCCCAAAGGTCAGCAGTCATCCCTGTGCTGTCTGCAGTCTCTGGTCATCCCTGTGCTGTCCGCAGTCTCTGGTCATCCCTGTGCTGTCCGCAGTCTCTGGTCATCCCTGTGCTGTCTGCAGTCTCTGGTCATCCCTGTGCTGTCCGCAGTTTCTGGTCATCTCCTGTACTGTCCGCAGTCTCTGGTCATCCCTGTGCTGTCCGCAGTCTCTGGTCATCCCTGTGCTGTCCGCAGTCTCTGGTCATCCCTGTGCTGTCCGCAGTCTCTGGTCATCTCCTGTACTGTGTCTGCAGTCTCTGGTCATCTCCTGTACTATGTCTGCAGTCCATTAGTTCAGAATTTTTTTTTTTCCTGTTTTCTGCCTCTAAAACCTAGGTGCGTCTTATGGTCAGGTGCGTCTTATACGGCGAAAAATATGGTAATAATACAACCTTTCTGTCATCCTACCCGTGAATATACTTAACCAAATAATTCCAAATTAAATAGATAAATCAATCCATACAAAAATCAATAGTCAATCAAGTGTCCCATTAAAGTCCAAAAATTCAAAAATTCAAGTCCAAAAATTCCCTAAGTCAAAAATATATCCAAAATAAATCCAGTAGGAAGGATTCCAATCCTAAAATAATCCTTGTGATACCTCGAAAAAAAGAAATACTATACAGTATAGTGCATTATCTTCCAAATATTCAAATACTCTTATAAAGTGCAAAATCAAATCTGTGCAAATTCCAAACCACTCAAATCGTGATTAATGGTGATATTACAAACAAACAGCAAAAAAAAAAAAAAAAAGAAGAAAAGAAAATTATATTTAAATATAGTAATTATAGTAAACAGTGAACAAAATCAAATCTTAAGGTGAATGCTTCTTTAAGTGAGCACTTCAATAATTCAGTGAACACTCAGTGACCACTACAATTCATACAGTGAACACTCCGTGAACAATCCAAGTAGTGATACTCCATTACCCTCTGGGAGTATTCATAGGCTTAGCCAATAACTCTGGTAACAGTATTGTTTTCAAATTCTTTCACTTCAGGAGTCCATCCTCCATAATCCTCATAAAGATGAAGAAAACTCTTAGAACAGATTTCTGAGTATAGGGATACATTTTAATATACACTTACATTGGGGTTAGCAACTTTCAGCTCTCTGAGTAGCACAGAACAAGCCCTGCAAAGAATGGGCATAGAAACCACGTTTTTCCAGCAATCGAAAAGGCAGCGACGGCACTTCCGGTTACCGTGCATGTATCTTAAGATGAAGTCCGGAAGTGACGAAACACGTTAGGGGACCAAGGGATACCAAGGGTAAGTGTGACTTGGTATCTGTGACCACGATTGTTAATGTTCCTCCACATGGAAATTTTTTTTCATATGTAATGCTTTTATGATTATTAAATTATTACTACACTATATACAAATTCTGGGGCTCCATGTGGTGAGCCCCTTTTTTCCAAGTTCCAAGCCGGGTCTGTAACAGCACTGGAAAGTAAATAATTAGGATCTGTTAGTGAGAAGTTACATGCTACTGACCAAGTAGCTTTCTGGTGAGTGCATGGTAGTGGAGGACCCCGCACTGGAGAGGAGCACTTGGTGGATTTGAACAGTGTGTCTTGGTTGGCACTGCACGCATACAGATTCACATTGGAAGGACTGTTATATATATTCTTTTGTACTTGGCACTTTTAGAAAACATTTATTTGCATATTTTCTCTCATTGATTTGGAATATTACTTATTTGGATAGACATTTTATGCGCTGCACTGTTTTGCTATTTATATAGGTTTGAGCCAATGGCTCATGGCTGAGACCTGCTGGTTGGCTGTATCCAACCACTGCCCAGAGCCCTGTGTTGACAAACCACACAGGGCTCTGCACAGAGGGAACAATCCTGTTTGTTTCTTCTCCCTGCAAAGAATAAAGAAGGAACAAACAGCTATTTAGTAAAAATCAGCACGCATTACACATTGCTTGGCACACAGTTAACCCTTTGATTGCCCCTAGATGTTAACCCCTTCCCAGCCAGTGTCATTATTACAGTGACAGTGTATAGTATTAGCACTGATTGATGTATTAGTGTCACTGATGATGTCCGTGTCAGTTACGCAGTTAGTGTACCTTCCAGCCAGCATCAGCTAGTGTCAAATTGCCTGCTGCACTATCAAAGTCCCACTATAAGTCACTGATTGCCAACTTTACTAGTATTAAAAAAATATATATATATATAAAAATCCCAGTATATACTGTAGTTTTCAGACGCTATAAACTTTTGCACAAACCAATCATATACACTTTTGTTTTACCAAAGACATGTAGCAGAATACACTTTGGCCTAAGTTTATGAAGAAATTAGATTTTTAAATCTTTTTTATTGTATAATTTTTATAACTGAAAAGTAAAAAAGTTTTTTTTTTTTTCAAAAATTTTTGGTCTTTTTTATTTATATAATAAAATATTTAAAAAAACCCAGTGGTGAGCAAATGGCACCAAAAATAAAGCTCTATTTGTGTGACAGAAATAATAAATATGTAATTTGCGTACAATATTGCATGACTGAGCAATTACCAGTTAAATGACCACAGTGCTAAATAGCAAAAAATGGCATGGTCATGAAGGGGGTAAAACCTTTCATAGTTCAAGTACATATATGTGTTGTTCCAAACCGATTCATATTTTCAAACATTCTATTGTTATTTTGGAACACTGGCTATATTCGTTTTACTGTAAGTATTTAATATGCATTCATTTATCCACTTCCATACAGGGCACTTTTACCCCCTTCCTGCCCAGGCCATTTTTTCAGGTTTCAGCGCTCTCACACTTTGAATGACAATTGCGCGGTCATACAACATTGTACTCAAACTAAAATTTTATCATTTTCTTCACACAACTAGAGCTTTCTTTTGGTGGTATTTAATCACCCGCCGGGGTTTTTATTTTTTGCTAAATTAACAAAGAACATTTTGAAAATAAACACGTTTTTCTTTGTTTCTGTTATAAAAGTTTTGCAGATAAATAATTGTTGTTCATAAATTTAGGCCAAGATGTATTCTACTACATGTCTTTGGTGAAAATAACCCAAATTAGGATGTATTATTTAGTCTGCAGGAAAGTTATAGAGTTCACAAACTATGGTATAGATCTGAATATTGATCAATCCTGAAGTACTGACGGCCAATCTAATTTCTTGAGGTCCAAGAATATCAGGACAGTACAGGTATCCCCCAAATGACCCCTTTTTGTAGAGTAGACAGTCCGATTTACTTCATAAGAGGCATGGCGAGTTTTTTAAAGTTGTATTTATTTTGTCATAATTTTTTGGAAAATGATAAAATTAAAAAAATTATTTTCACAGTTTTTTTTTTTTTACATACTGTCACCAGTGCAGTACAGCGTCATCATATAACTGGCATGGCGGTGATCAGGGACACTGACTAGTGACAGTATGAAAAAAAAAATATATAATTTTTTTATTATTTTTAATTTTTTATTACTTTTTTTTAAGATTTTATTTTCATATTTCACTATGACCAAAGTAGTACAATGTTACCATAGTAACATTGTACTACTTTGGGGAAGTGATCAGTATTTTTTTTTTCTTTTTTTTTACACAATTTGCTTATAGCAAAGAATTACTTTGCTATAAGCAAGCATTAACCTGAATGGCATCAATTCATTCAGGGTTTTTTTTTTTGTGCTTAGCTATGATTTGGCCATGGCTAATCACATGACACAGCTGGGTTGTGATTGGCAGAGCTTGTGCTGTGACCATTCACAGCTAGACACACTAGTATACAATGGATGGCATGAATGAAGCCATCTATTGTATACAATTGTCATGTGACCTGCTGTGATTGGTCACATGGTACTGGCAACAGGGCCGGTACCCAGATCTGTCATTGGCCGTGTCTGAGGTACATGGCAGACAGATCGTGCCGCCGCGTGGCTCTGCAGGCGCGAACTGCGCATGCCCAAAAGGACACCATATGGCGTCCACCTGAAAAGGTGAGGGTTTTTTTTTTGCCGGCCACCATTCCGCCATAGGCTGGGCGGGAACCGGATATGTTAATAAAGTGGAGTTCCATTCACCCTGTCAAAAAATAAAAGTCAGCAGCTACAAAAACAGCCACTCACCTGTCCCTCGGTCCTGTGGTGTGTCCCCCGCAGCCCGTTTCACCGGCCGTCCTGGATTCCAGGAGGCAGGCATCTTCAGTGTGGGCACCCGGCTGTGACAGCTTGCGGCTGCTCAGCCGGGTACCCACTGCACATGCGCAAGTAGTGCTGCACTTCATGACTGGTCCTGTAGTCTTCTGGGACCTGTCACGTGTCACAAAAGACTACAGGGAGGGAGGGTGGACACCTTCTGCTTCCGATCGCCTCGGCGATCAGACCAGAAGTGGGAGTGGGTACCTGTCCCCCCCGCTCCCCAAAGGTGCCAATCCTTAATGGGGAGCGGGGGAGCAGTCCTTTAAGCGGAACTTCCACTTTTGCGTGGTGCTCTGTTTTAAGTTGAATTATTTACCCCATTCCTAACTGACTTTGTTTGTTGGGTCATGCACTTACAAATTAAATGAAAGGTCTCTCATGTTCAACAGAAAACAAAACAAAAAGAATCCTAATAGAATACTCACTAGAATAAAAACGAAGGGATCAGAATCAATGCAGATCATCCGTCATGTTGTATACATTATTTTGGATGCTTCAAATGTTAACAGAAGGTCCAAACTATCACATCATGTCATCTGAATGAAGCAAATGAATAGGAATTCAATGATTTTGTTATGATTTTGTTTTGCATTAGTTGAGATTCATTACTATTGAGATGTATCCAAATCTCAGAATCATGCAAATTTTGTCCAAATTTTGATTTGTAATGAAACAAATCTCACATGTCTAGAGACTAGAATGATTGCTGAAATGAGAGAAAAACATTGGTAACAAACACACATTCACATCTGCACTACACTTGTCCTACATCTTATACATGGAAAATCTCTTTTTAAACTCCACTACTTGGCAAGCCTTATTAGTTCAGCCAGACTAATTTTTGTATGCTGGGGTGATTATCATACTAAATGTGGTTTGCTGACGAATCCCTTGATCATTAGGTGCTAATTATATGAGCATGTTTGAAATGTATACACGTGCAAAGAAAAGGAAAAGCCTACCTATGGGATTCTACATAACTTTTAGATAATGAAGTGAGGTTCATTAAATATATATAATGAACTCACCAGGAGCATAGCATCCCTGGTTTCTGCTGACTTTACAGGCTGCTATCTTGTGAGTACTGGCTTTATAAAGAAGCTGCAATGGGGTCTTGATCTTCCAGCACATGGGAAAGAGGCTTTTCAAGCAATATAATCACATAGTGTAATGTTGTTTATGAGACACTTTAGAATATTTAAAGTGTTATTGCAACGTCCTGAATCCAGCCTCCCAATTACAGAATGGGCACTCAGTGTATGTGCTTCTTGTGTTATTATATTTTGGATTCAAGGTAATATGCAATATATCAGGGGTGTCAAACATCATGAACCACATCAGCATTATTGTTGCCCTTAAAGGGCCGGTTGTATCTGTAAGACTATATACTGTAAATGTATCTACTCTTTAGAATATTACATATTTGCTTCTGCATTCAATTATTATTGATTTTAGGAATAACTTAAGACTTAAGTTGTGAAAGGCAGGTGCAGACCAACACAGAGCCCACTGAGGCATGTCTGAAAATGAGGGTCACACAACACTGGTATCGTTCACAAGGACCAAAGAACAGGAGACTGTTCAGACAGACATAGTACATGGTTCTGCCATGGTGTTCTGTCTGAGCAGTCTCCAAAAAAGTTTCTTGCGGATGATACCAGCTGTGTGCGACCCTCCTTTTCAACTGACATAGAATTGTATTAGTCTCTTAATTATAAGCAGATGTCTAGAGCACCCAACCCCTCTTCCATCAGATGTTAGGAGCCCTTCCCTCTTCCATCAGATGTTAGGAGCCCCTCCCTCTTCCATCAGATGGTAGGAGCCCCTCCCTCTTACATCAGATGTTAGGAGCCCCTCCCTCTTACATCAGATGTTAGGAGCCCCTCCCTCTTACATCAGATGTTAGGAGCCCCTCCCTCTTACATCAGATGTTAGGAGCTCCTCCCTCTTACATCAGATGTTAGGAGCCCCTCCCTCTTACATCAGATGTTAGGAGCCCCTCCCTCTTACATCAGATGTTAGGAGCCCCTCCCTCTTACATCAGATGTTAGTAGCCCTCCCCCCCATCAGAAGTCAGGAGTCCCTCACTCTCCCTCACAGTGCACCCCACCTACATTTTGCTGCTTCCAGGAAGAAGCTGGGGGCAGAAAGTGCAGGGTCTACAATTGCCTAAGCTCCCACCTCACTGACAACAACCTCCTCGATCCTCTACAGTCTGGCTTCCATCCCCTACACTCCACCGAATCTGCCCTACTCAAAATCACTAACGACCTTCTAACCACCAAAGCTAATGGCCACTACTCAGTCCTCCTACTCCTCGACCTCTCCACGGCCTTCAACACAGTTGACCACCCCCTTCTTAATAAACTACACTCCCTTGGCACCAGAGACTCTGCTCTCTCCTGGCTTTCCTCCTATCTATCCCAACGCTCCTTCAGCATTACCTATAACACTACCACCTCCCCCTCTCGCCCCCTCTCTGTGGGGGTCCCTCAAGACTCTGTCATTGGGCCCCTTCTTTTCTTCATCTACACCTCCTCCCTTGGCAAACTGATACACTCCCACGGCTTCAACTATCACCTCTACGCCGATGACACGCAAATTTACCTCTCCACCCATCACCTCACCCCTTCAGTCTCCGCCCATATCACCCACCTACTGAACGACATATCAGACTGGATGTCGCTCCATTTCCTCAAATTGAACCTTTCCAAAACTGAGCTCCTAGTTTTTCCCCCCAGCCCGCGCGCCCCCCATCCTCTCCATCACGACGAACAACGCCACCATCAGTCCCACCCCCACAAGCCAGAGTCCTAGGTGTCACCCTAGACTCAAACCTGTCCTTCCAACTCCATGTCCAATCGCTGGCAAATTCATGCAGGCTCCACCTCCGCAACATCTCCAAAATACGTACGTTTGCCGCCCCCCTCTGTCATTCCCTCCACTGGCTTCCGATTGCCCAACGCATTAAATTCAAACTACTAACATTGACATACAAAGCCATTCATAACACTGCCCCAAACTACCTCACCGACCTGATACCCAAATACCACCCAACCCGTACTCTTCGCTCCTCACAAGACCTCCTACTTTCTATCTCCCTGGTCTCCTCCTCCCACGCCCAACTACAGGACTTCTCGAGGACTTCCCCCATCCTCTGGAACTCTCTACCCCGATCCATCAGACTGTCACCTACCCTCCTCACCTTCAGGCGCACCCTGAAAACCCATCTCTTCAGGGAAGCCTACCCCACCCTCACCTAACAGCCAATCTCCTCCACTCCCTACCTACTACTCCATCCCCCACAGCCACTTCCTCCTGTACCACTATCCCCTCCCTCCTAGATTGTAAGCTCAAAAGAGCAGGGCCCTCGAACCCCTCGTGTATTGTATTGTTACTGTATTGTCTCATGTTCTGTCCCCCACTATAATGTACAGCGCTGAGCAAACCTTTTGGCGCTATATAAATACTGTATAATAATAATAAGTTGCAGATAAGCTTTTCTCTTTGGGTTGTACTGTAAACAATCACCTTTGTAACTGTACAAGGTCTCTTTTTTTTTTTTTTTTTGCAGTGAGGAGGATATCAGAAGTCTATGTCTCCCTGAATTTCCTGAACCCTCTGAGCTTTTCTGGAAATACCTGGACCTGGCCACTTTCATCCTACTCTATGTTCTCCCACTGCTGATCATCTCTGTGGCCTACACCACAGTGGCAAAAAAGCTGTGGCTTCGGAATGCCATAGGAGATGTGACTACTGAACAGTATTTTGCTCTCCGCAGAAAAAAAAAGAAGACCATTAAGATGCTGATGCTGGTAGTGGTTCTCTTTGCTGTGTGCTGGTTCCCCCTAAACTGTTATGTTGTCCTTCTTTCCAGCCAAATTATTCGCACTAACAATGCACTTTATTTTGCATTTCACTGGTTTGCCATGAGTAGCACCTGCTACAACCCGTTTATATACTGTTGGCTTAATGACAACTTCAGATCGGAGTTAAAAGCATTGCTTAACATGTGCAAAAAACAGACTAGCCAGCGGGAGGACATGCTTCCTTCTAACATCCCTTCATACAGGGTAGCCTGGCCTGAAAACCGAAGCTTCAAGAGATCGCTAGTTTCTCACACCCTTCCATCGTCCTCTAACATCCAGTCTGGAAAAACAGACATCTCGGCGGTGGAGCCCATTGTGTCAGTTGGGTGATCATACATGATCTTCAAAAGGCCTAGATGTCTTTCTGCAAGGTGAAGGTCTATCTATTATGCTTACTTGAGCTGTCAGTTTGCCCATTGGTGCTGAGAAAACAGAACTTTTCAACATGTATGGCATTTGTGTTTATGAATGTGTTCCACAGCAGGATGTTTGCAGGGTCATATCTCTCTGTGATGGATTCTGTTGTGTGTATGTTTGACTATCAAACAAGCTCTTCGAAAAGCCTTGTTGTATTGTGCCAAAGTCAGAAACATCTGTCAATCCATTGGTCTATTGTTTTAATGCCAAGCTCAACAGATAGGCTTCTCCTGCCACTTTGCTATTAATTAAAGTGAATGTTCCACAGTGGAACTTATGGAAATAAGGATAGGTATTCTGAGACTTGACCTTTACTGAGATTACTGGAGATCCGTCTGTATTGTGTTTCCCGCAGCCCAAGGGAAGCACTGCTGCTATATCTATTCACTTTGTAAACAGTGCATTTGCTTAATGCACACTGTGGTTTTGCTGTTTTGCTCTGGAAACATCTTTCATATTATGTCATGTGAAAAATTAAGAAAAAAATAATCATTAAAATCAAGACACCGACAAAGAGAGAGACTGTTTATAAATAAAGTGATCCCTTTCATTGATCAGTCTATTGTAATTCATTAGCAGTTCTTTGCACCTTTAATGTGAAGCTTTACTTTGATTGAAAAAATCCTCTCTTAATCTCTGTCTTTCTACATGTATTACCATCATCCTATACAGGTCAAATTAGTCCATGTTCTGAATGTACTTAGTTCACTTACATTTAAAGATCCTAAACTGCATTAAACCCAAGTGTGAGTCCTTGACATTGCACTGGCAAACGCTTATCTTCAAGTATGGTAATCCCTCCTCCCAGTCCATCCATTCACTGGGTTTAAATAAATATAATATATCCTGAAGCCTTTACAATACTCATCTAAGTCTGCCATCCATGTCCCTCAAGGGCTCAGCTTTTAAAAGTCACGATAGGCTCCATATTGGCAGTCGATGCCCTGGTTCCATCGAGGGCCCTGTCACTGGTCAGCCAATAGTAAATGTCTGTGTCATCCAGGCAGTGATGTAGACAACTGAAGAAGAACCCTTCCTCTACTGCAAATAAGAAGAGAGACAAGTTGGGATTTGGAGAGTCACATGGCCATGGATTTAATTGAGTATTTTGGGTATTTGTATTTGCAATTGTAACATGTTACACCATGAATATGGGTGTAACATGTTACAAAAGGTGAACGTATCCTTTAATATCTAAGGATATTTGCTAGGTGGGGACAGCACTAGACAAGAGGTGGGTAAGAAAACCAAACCTGCCAGGGCATCCTGGAGTTGGGTCTATGACTAAGGTCTGGATATTTATTTATTTACTCGTGCAGTGTTTATTAATGTAGTTTGGCATGCTTTTGAATAGAGTTTGTGTTTAGGAACTTACACCTGTGTGCCAGAGTTCTTTCTGCTTTATGTGTATGGGATGGGAAGAACCTTTCCCAGTGCTGGTAATCCTGTTACCGAGGAGAAGGCTAGGAGATAGAGCATGTGTCTTGTTTTCACTACAGCCAAGAGCTGGGCTTTAATATAACATCCCTTATCATTTCTTTTTTGTATATTTTTAATTATTTGTGTAGTTACTTTATTTGTTTGTTTATCTATTTTTTTTTTACTGTTTATTTATTTCTGTGAAAAAATAAACAAACAAAACGTATTGAGGCTAATAAGGGTGTTTTTTTTTTTTAGTCCCAAGAACAGGTTTAGGGGAGATATTATTAACCTGCAGAAGTCAGTTAAAGTGTATTGAACCTGTAAAAAAGAACAATGTAATTTCTCCTCTATTGGCTCCAAAGCTTTTCACCAAAAAAAAGCAAAATCTTGCTGTAATCTCTTGATCTTTGCTAAAAGTTCAGGGGAAGAGAAAACTCTAAATTTTATTGCTTCCTGGTGCCTACTACATTAGAAAATATAAACAGAATATGATTCAAACAGTATAATTTAAGGTGATGAAAGGTGAGAGTTAAAAAAAAGAAAGCCATTTGAGCTAATCTCTGCTCAGGTTGGCCGTTCCAGTCATTTTGGCCAAAAACAGGTTTTATAAACACTTTAGATGAAGCTTCCAGAGAATTCTCTAGGATCATCAGGATCTCAAATACTTATCAGTTTGCCATGATGGAGAAGGATCTGAGTGTTCTGGGAGATCATCAACCTAGTAATAGCATACTGAGCCAACCTACAGCTTCCAGAGTGGGCAAGATGCTATCCTGCATTACGAGTAAATATACCTAAGAGTGTGAGATAAAAGATCTAATTTTAAATAATTTTAGCACCAGTCCATAAAAAGTGTTTTCTAGAACTGGAAAGATTACAGAGAGATTAGTAAAAGCTCTAAGGGGCCTCATCTTTAAGGAACCACTAGTTGGACTGAATTTATTTACTCTTGAAGAATGGCAATGGTAGGTCTGATCATCTTCAAAAAGAACATGGTCCACATGGTGAAACTTAATGGACAGTTGTTTACCTCGAAGAAACCAGAAAAGACACAAAGTCAGCCTTTGTGAATGGGGGGGGGGAGAGTTTTAATCTCTGCATATGGAACAGGGTTCTTTTACAGAAAATAGTTCTAGCTGACACTTTTTTTTTTTTTAAAGTGATGGCAAAGAAAAGACCAAATGGTCCATCGAGTCTTCCCTTTTTTTTAAGTCTTTAAAAAATGGATGGACCTATTTCCAAGTGTATTAATAACACACCATCCAGCTTCTAATAATAATAGGTGATAACATTCTTATTACATAAAGTTATACTATTTTGGGTTTAAAAAGGAATTAGATTTTTTTATTGCTTTTCTTTCCTTGGGCTAAAGGCTAAGAGTGTTATGAGGATAAAAAGAAAAAAAAAACCCTCAGTTTGGATGTGTCTTATTTTAAAAGGCCACTGAGATGCCTGTCGCAGAGTTCTGTGATCATCATCTGCTCATAATCGCTTCCAACTAACAACAATTGCCTCTGCTGGAAATAATGGAAAACTGTTGCCAAGTATATAAGGTAGTTTCCAGGTGGATAAATAATCTGAAAGCACAATTTTTACTTCTACCTCCCGCTGGTGTCATTTTCTGTGTGATTTGTTCTTACACAATGTGAGGAGGACAGGGGATATATGTTCAATCCTGAATCTGATCAAGACTACTAAAGTAAGGCCTGGTTCACACCAATGCAGTTTTGGCTGTTTTGCAGTGCTTTTTCCATGCTTGTTTTTGGTGTTTTTACCGCTTTTTGGGTTTATTTTGTTAACCACTTTAGCTCCAGAGGATTTACCCCCCTTAATGACCAGGCCTCTTTTTGCTACTCGGCGCTGCACTAATTCAACTGATAATTGCGCAGTCATGCAATGCTGCACCCAAACGAAATTTACGTCCTTTTTTCACACAAATAGAGCTTTCTTTCGGTGGTATTTGATCACCTGTGCGCTTTTTATTTTTCACGCTATGAACAAAAAAAGGCCAAAAATTTTGAAGAAAAACAATATTTTTTATTTTCAGCTATAAAAAATATATAGTAAACTCAAAGTTGGTTATAAATTTAGGCCAAAATGTATTCTGCTCCATGTTTTTGGTAAAAAAAATCCCAATAAGTGTATATTGATTGCTTTGTGTGAAAGTTATAGCGTCTACAAACTATGGTATAAATACTGCAATTTACTCCATTTTTTTGCTATACAGCGCTGCGCTAGTTTAACGGACAATTGCGCGGTCATGCAATATGGTACATAAATGAAATTTACATCCTTTTTTCCCCACAAATTGAGCTTTCTTTCGGTGGTATTTGATCACCTGTGCGGTTTTTATTTTTTGCGCTATAAGAAAAAAAGTCTGACAATTTTGAGGAAAAAAAAACAATATTTTGGACTTTTTGCTATAAAACATGTCCAGTAAAAAAAAAAAATGCAAAAATCAAATTTAGTCATAATTTTCTGCCAAAATGCATTCTGCGGCATGTCTTTGCTAAAAAAAAACCCCAATACGTGTAAATTAATTGGTTTACGTGAAAGTTATAGTGTTTACAAATTGCGGGAAAAATACTAGGATTTTTAGGTTTTTTTTTATACTAATAATGGCGGCGATCAGCGAATTATGGCGGCGATCAGGGATTTATGGCAGCAACCAGCGACTTATGGCGGGACTGCGGCGGACATTTTGACATTGGGGGGTACTGACTTGGGGTCACTGACATCCCCAAAAACACTAATACAGTGATCAGTGCAAAAAAAAAAAAAACTGACACTGTACTAATGGCAATGGGGAGGAAGGGGTTAACTTTACTTAGCAGGGAAGGGTTATAGGAGTGAGGGGAGTGTTTTACTAGGGGGCGGGGGTGTGTGCTGGGCGGGGACAAGGCTGATCGAGAAAGAGAAACTCCTCTTTCTTGATCAGCTCATCCTCGAGCTGAGAAGGAAGTGACAGACGGCACAGCTACTGCAGCTGTGCTCTCTGTCACTGATTGCCGCCGATCGCCGGGACATAGCCGCTAAGGAGCGGCTGTGACCCGGCGACTGACATCTGCGGCGGTGATCCACAGGATAAATAGGGTGGCGGCGCGCCTCGCGCGCGCCCCCTATTTGTTTACAAAACACACGTCTTAAAACGTGGTTTTGCCTGTGAGTGCCGCCCTGCCGCCGTACATGTACAGTGGCTGGGCGGCATGCGGTTAAGATGCAAATTTTTTTTGTTGCTGGGCAGAATAAAAATGCAAAATGCAGCAAAAATGCACTACTTGCATTTCAGAAGCTTCTCTATTGAACTCTATTGTAGCAAAATGCTGCTTTTTGCAATGAAAAAAGTCCTTGACCCTTTCCAAAAATGCAGCAGCTCAAAAAAGCATAGATGTGAATATATTGCATAGGAGACCATGTTAATTTGACTGTAGTGCGTTTCTGCAAAAAGCACTTAAAAACGCATTGGTGTAAACCAGGCCTTAGTCTAGGTC